TATTATTCAATTTTTTTAAAAAAAGAATTATTTTATTTAACTTTATTTATTTATTATAATTTGATGGGGTAGGGGAGAGAGAACGCAAGAAAGCAAGCCTCCAGGTTCAGGACTCAAACTGTAGTTGGCCATGCAGGAATCCAGCACCCTTAACCACCACGCCACCTGCTGGCCCCTATTATTTTTCAGTTGACCAGAGAGAAGCAGAAAGAGAGAGAAAGCAGGCCACCAGGTCTGGGACTCGAACCACAGTTGGCCATATGAGAGTCCCAGGCCTTTATCACCACACCATCTACTGGCTCTGCATTATTATTATTTTTATATGTGCTTTATGGCACATGTACTCAACAGAGAGAGACGAAGACACAAGGGAGAAGGGTGAGGAAAGCAAGCCTCCAGGTCCTGAACTCAAACTAAGGTTGGCCATGTGGGAGTCCAGCACCCCAACCACTGCGCCACCTGCTGCTCCCTGCAAATGTAACTCTTTGGCAGCACGGTATCATGTTCATGTTGCATTACCTGATCTGTCAGGTAATTAATTATACATGGAGTTAGTCTGTTTCAGTCCATATTTTTGTGTTGCCAACTGAAATATCTGAGACTGGGTGGCTTATAAAGAAATAGGGGTTTATGGGAACCAGCAGTTAGTGTAATGGTTATGTCACCGGACTCCCATGTAGTTGACCACGGTTCGCGTCCCGGACCTGGTGGCTTAAAAAACTCACACCGGGCTCATGTGCGTACCTGCCGAAGATCCTGAGAGGAGAATGGAGGAGAAGGGATTGTGGCGCGACCGTCCCCCCTGGGGGGTGATTTCTCACTTTCTGTCTCTATGTCTCTCTCTGTCTGGCGAGCGCACGCGCCCTATAGTGAAAAACCTCTCCAAAAAAAAAAAAAAAAAGAAATAGGGGTTTACTAGCTCACAAGTCTGGCAGCTGGAAAGTCTGAAGCGGGTAGCTCTCTTTTATAGCAACCAACTTTCATGAGAATTAAACCCTTCTCATGAGAACTAGAACTCACTGAATCTCAAGAGACATCATTAATCTATTCACAAGAGTCTTGCCCCCATGATGTAATCCCCATGATCAAATCACCACCCACTAGGCTCACCACCTCTCAACATTAAATTCCAAACATAAAACTTTGGGAAACGAACACACTCTTCCCCACCCGCATAGCAGAAATTCAGCAATACAGCTTTTCCCCCTTATGTAATACAGTTTTACACAGCACTGTTTAGAAGAGAAAAACACATATTGAGTCATCAGAAATGTCACAACATACATTTCCATGTTTTTCTATGCAAAAATGTGTCATGACTTTTCCAATGACCCAATAGTTCTTGCCTCTGTCATACGCAAACTAATCACAGGTAGACTTACGGTTATTTTTCTATCCAGTAGTAAAGAAGAACTTGATTTGTGAGTTCGAGATCTTTTCTGCTAGTTTCTGAAATTCACTGGGTCGTTTCTAGGGAGATATTCCATAGACCACCCAGGGAAAAAGCCGATTCTCTCTTTACAGTGAAAACTTTATTTTAATGTTTACAAACACGATTGTGAAACAGATACTAAGAGACATTAACACATTCTCTGATTTTTTTTTTTTCCTCTGTGGTTATGTAGGTGAGACAGGCATTGGCAAATCCACCTTAATGGACACTTTATTCAACACCAAATTTGAAAGTGACCCAGCTTCTCACAATGAACCAGGTGTCCGGTTAAAAGCCAGAAGTTACGAGCTTCAGGAAAGCAACGTACGGCTGAAGTTAACCATCGTTGACACCGTGGGATTTGGAGACCAGATAAATAAGGATGACAGGTACATGCTGGGAGGGGGGGGGGGGGGGGGAGGGGGTCTAAATGGGTGAGGAGACAGTGGAACCTACCCTGGGGAGATTCAGAAGCTAAATGTATTTGGTATTCTCTAGTCGCGGGGCTTGGTCCTCTCATCACTTGAAAGAGACGACATTCATGTCTTCCAGAAATTGTCTGAGAGTGTTCTTCTTTGGGGTAAGAGTCAGACAATGGAATGAATTCTAGCTAGTGTAAGTAGAAAAGGGATTTGTGAGAGAGAATACGTTTAATTATTTTTCCAGAAGCCAGGCTTAAGGACTTTTTCACCAGGAAACCATCTAGAGAAATAGACCAACATGCCCCAGAATAGGTGGTTATTTGTTTTGTTTTGTTTTTTTCTTTTTAAGTCACAGGCTAGTTTTTTAGCAGAAATCCCTGCAATTGACCACCTCATACTGTGTGGTTCCCATGACATTGTGGGGAGATCTCTAGAACATCTACCAGATCCATCCCAGATAACCTAAATGTGTCACCATTTTTTGCAAGGAGAATGCTCCTCTCTGTCTATGGCCTCTGTTTGGTTGCTCATTTGCTGCTTCACGGTCTCGGGTGGCCGCACGTGTTCAGTACAAATCAAGCTGCTCCTGGGATACCAGCGGCAGGAGTCTGGGAGATGAGCATGGTCAGTTCTCTTCAACTCTTCAGAATAAGAAGGAATTAAAAAGTAAGATGAGTTTGGAGTGAGCTTCTGCCACTCTCTTCTCGTTACTGAGACAGATGGAGATATTTGAGTTGATCCCCGAATTCTTATGGATTTGAATGAAAGCTGAAAGCCAGTGGGATTCTGTACAACAAGCCACAACCCTGGGTTTAGGAGACACACATTGTAATCTGGTTCTGCTGGTGAGAAGCCATGCATTTAACTTTAAGGAAATGACACTAGGTCTTCTCTAAGGTCTTTACCAGTGTGAGACTTCATGTCGTCCTAGGCCTCTGTAGAAGACTAAGGCAGGGGGTCAGCAGATGCCTTAGCAGTTACATCACAGGACTCCCACATGGCCTACTGTGGTTCAAGTCTCACACCTGCTGACTTGAAAATTATACCAGGCACTTGGGCATGTATGCCCTAGATGCTGAGAATGGAGGAGGAGGGATTGTGGCATGGCCATCCCCCCGGCAGGTGTTTTCTCACTTTCTCTCTCACTGACTCTGTCTCTTATTTCTCTCTCTCTGGTGAGCATGTGTGCCCTAAGGCAAAAACCTCTAAAAAATAAATAAATAAAAGAAAACTGGGTGGGGGTGGGGGCTGTGGTAAAAGGTTAGGACATGAAGAGGGATATGGTAATAGGGGGTTATCCTGCACATTTATGGCTTTTAGTATGTGATGTTATCTCCTAAATCTCCCGGTAAAGAAACATTTCTATGAACAATCTGTTGGAAAAGAGATAGTTTCTTCCCAGTTTGAACAGGGTCTTGATGTTGAGGGTCGTGGTGCAGCGTGAGGCACTTGGGAGTCCGTTGTGAGGCCTCGGGGTCTCGCTGCAGGCTGCTCAAAGCCAGGCAGCACTCAAGTGGAAGGTCGCCAATGGACTCTGAATGATGGTCTAATAAGGAGTTCAGACCAATTGGCTGGATTAACGTTTCCTTCTACAGAGGATTCGGTAAGCTAGTTAGGTAACACATACGACAAAATTCTGTGTATATACCTAGGAAAAAAAAGCTTAGTTTATTTAAGAAGTACAGTTTTTTTCAGGGCCAGCAGATAACAGTGATTAAAACATTGGACTCCCACATGGCCAAATGTGGTTCAAGTCTCAGACCTGGCAGCTTGAAACTCACATCGGGCACATGAGCGTGCATGCCCAAAATCCCAAGAGGAGAATACAGGAGAAAGAATTGAAGGGATTGCAGTATGGCCATCCCCCATGGGGAGTGATTTCTACTTTCTCTCTGTCTTCAGCGAGTGCACGCACCATACAGCAAAAATCTCTCTCTAAAAAGAAAGAAAACCCTTTTAAGTAATTTTGTTCAATCATGTGTGGATACAGGTTGCTAGCTAATAGCACTTACGGTTTTATTCATTAAAATGGTTCATAGAAACTTGGAGGTTATAATTATGAAATAATATAATAATGGGTTTCTATTTTTATAAAACAAACATAACCCATTTATAAAGACAAATAAGTTTGGGTCTTCACTACAAGTGTCCATGTGCCCTTCCTTGTGGGAACATGTTCCTCTTTAACATGTCCTAGTATACAATTTTCACATTAATCTCAGTCTCATAGTTTTGTCCATGTCCCTTCTCAAGATCACCTATCCTATTTAGTAACTTCAACTTCACATAGCTTATGACTATTTTAAATTATATTTATTCTCAAAAGCAGTTTGAGAAAGTCAAAATAAACCTGACCCAGGCCCAAAGATGATCCCAGACTAGGGTTTCCAGCGACGTTTTTGAGCAGTGACAGCTTTATAAAAATCCTATCTAGCCCCTCCAGTAATCCATAGATAGAAATAAACACAAACCAATAAGTTATGATATGTTTGCTTAAAAGGCTCAGAAGCTTCATTTATCGGAAATACGTGTAATGGGAAAACCACATATGAATTTCAAAAAGTTTTTGTACCAAAATAAATTCACACTTTAATCGTAAAAAAATAAAAAGAAACTTCATTTATCTCATAATTTTGTTTTTGTTTTCCTCAAAACACTGTACATTATATATGTGTGTTTCATAAAGAGGAACTTAGACTTTTTTTATGTAGAAATGCATATTGCCTAGATAAGTTTTAACGGTCCCTGATGTAAATCTGAGTATCATATGATGGTGGCAGAGAAACGTTTAATTCATCCTTCAGCTGAGCACTAAGCTCTATTTTATTTCTAGAATACTTTAGATGTTCTTCCATAGACATTGTCCTATGGTAACGGAGCAATTGTTAGATACAGTGAGAAGAATTTTATTTCGCTTCTTGTCAGAATGGACTGTGCACCTTCTCCTGGGGCGGGAACGGGGTGCATCTAGGCTGTGACCTACATCTGAAGAGTTGCTCTTAATTTATGACCTCAATGCCAAGGATAGACAGATTACTGCCCGAAGGCATTTGTAATGCCAAGTGACATAAATGAAGAGAAGACCCTGGTGACAAGGCACAAGTGCATTGTGGGAACTGGAGAGAGAGCCAGGGGCTTCTGGTCACTGCCCAGTCACAGAGTCCACATAACAAGGCCTGTCCTCCTCCTTGAGATCTATACAGACTCCTCCCTAGTTTAGAGTGTGTCAGGCGTGAGCATTCTCTGATCGGATGACAGCAACTGTTGATTTTTGTTGTTTATTTCCTTCTTTCGTGAAAGAGAGAAGAGAAAGGCAGATGCACAGGAACTCCCTATAAGGTCTTCCCATGCTGCGATCCTACCCCCAGCCTTCCAGCCAGCCAGGCTCGCCGTGTGCTCAGTGATCCAAACCCCACATATGCCTCCACTGCTGTGCCCCTGCAGCCAGACCTGGCAACGGCACTTTTTCCAGGATCCCTCCCAGGAATGAGCACTGGTCCTCCCCCAAGCATCTCGCTGCTCAGATTCCACGTGCTCTGCAGCTCAGTCATTGCTTCGGTGCTGCCACTCCATTGGTGCTCCTGCAACTGGGACTGTCCTCAGGCTGGTGAATTTTACTCACCAGCTATAAGTGGCAAGTAGCTAGCACAGTACAGATCTTCGTATTTGCAGCTGGAGTCCTCTTTAAGAAATTATCTGACTCATTTGGGTCAAATAATAGTTTCCAAGGAGATTCAGAAGAGAGGAAGTGTGATATTAACCTAACCTAGATACCAATTTTTTTTTTTCCTCTGTAATTTCTTGACAGTTGTTGCATAACCTCTTTAAGTGACATTTTCAAACTCTACGTTCCCCTGTGCCGCAGAAGGCATCGTTGCACAGTTGACTGTCAACCTAAATGACTGGCTTAAAAATAGTTATTCAGACAAGCTCTGCTTCCATCAAAAAACTGGAAGTGGGGTATGCATTTTTGCAGGGGTGTGTAACCATATGGGAAAGGGTGTGCTGTTTCTCTAAACCCATGATTATTTTTACCTACTTTGGGGATCAGGCAAGCTTTTCTGCCATAGATGCAAGACTTCGAGAATGCCCCCGTTTGTTTAGTAGGCTGCAGACTTGTCAGCGTTCCTGCATCGTTGTCTGCCTCGGGCCAGGCTAGCTAGGAGGAGGCAGGAAGAGGAGGTTGCTAAGGCTTTCTGTTATGATTAAGAGCATGTTTAATTCTTTGGTGTAGAAGGGCTTCCAGGTCTGGAAAGGAAGGGAAACCAAGTGTTGATGTGCAACAGGGAATATCAGATCACTGGGAAAAGTCAGTGTATTTTTCTATGTTTTCTATGCAAAATGTGCCACGACTTTCCCGGCAACCCAATGGTATGACTAGTTTACCCCACTTTGGGAGATGGGAGGTGGCATGTCACTGTCATGGTAATAAGCTATGAAAAGTTGGATGATCAGGGACCAGCAGGTGGCATGGTGGTTAAGGGCACTGGACTCCCACGTCGCTGGCTGCAGTTTGAGTCCCGGACCTGGAGGCTTGCTTTCTTACCCCTCCCCTTCCATTCTGCCCCTCTCTGGTCAAATTTAAATAAATAAATAAATAAAATTTAAATGAAATAATTATTTTAAAAAATAAAATTGGATAACCAGAATTCACCGAGAGAATCTCAGACTCCGAATTCTTTAACAGAGTTCTAAACTAGCAGTGGAGTGGACTCTTTGGTCTTCAGAGGCTAAGTTTTCATCACACTTTTTGGTGGAGGTAGTCCGTAGGTAGGAAAATGATCTTTGGCTAACACATAGCAAAATAAGAGAACAGTGTCTGTGGGTGATTGGTCACGTGCAGAATGGAGAGTCAACCCTGAGGACGACATTGGCTGTTTGGCAAGAACGATCGATTGGTAGGTAGGATGAATAGAAAGCATTGCATAACATATCTTTTCCCATCAGTTTTAGGGTTGACCTATGGC